AGGCCCCAAACTTATGCAAGAATTACATAGCTTTAGGCCAAAATTTTATGCAAATGGATAAGAATATAGGTCCAAAATGTGAGGCCCAAACCTATGCAGGAATTACATGGCTCGAGGCCCAAATTTTATGCAAATGGATAAAAATATAGGCCCAAAATGTGAGGCCCCAAACCTATGCAGGAATAACATGGCCGGAGGCCCAAATTTTATGCAAAATGGATAGAAATATAGGTCCAAAATGTGAGGCCCAACCAGCAAAAAAAAAAAAGAAAAAAAAGAGCCAAAAAATTGAAAAAACCGCACCGCACCGTAATAAACCATACCGCGTCGATTTATGCCATTTTTCTGGGCGGTTCGGTTCACAAATATATAAAACCGAAATTACCGGTTCGGTGTAAAACTAGTGAAAAAATCAACCGAACCGAACCGATTTCACCCCTACAAATGAGTATCTGTAGACGTCCCCCGAATGCCCCCGGAGGAACGAGTCCCCCGTTCCGTTCGATATTGGGCTCACTACAGTTCAGGACTCAAATGTCACGGTTCTTAATCTGAACCAAAGAGTCCAAATCCGGCAAATCGTTTTGAGAAAACAGATTTTTAGAAAAGAAGTGCCAAACATGGACTGCTTTGCCAGATACAGAGTCGCCACCTAAATATTTTATTTTGGAGAAATTTAGGAAACCCTGACTCGTTTGCCTAAGGCCACGTGTCTGTCATCACCAAAGTTGCCTCGGCTCGGGAACTTGGGTACGATTGGGGAAGGTCACTTAGTGAGCACCCCCGCTCGCCCGATCAAAGATCGGCCTCTACTAACCATGATATCTATTTTTGAAAACATTATGCGTTCTTATTCCGGTTATTAGCCTAGATTTACTATGTGATGCGCACAACATACAAGTATAAACTGGATCGCCTGAATTGGAACAAAACATTTCATGTTTGTTTGTTTGAAAATGGTTTGATGGTGCTACCCGCAAGTAGGCTAAGACATGGATTTGCCACCCTCGGGTGGGCTTAGAAAAACATGATTTTGCCACTATCTAGTGGGCTTAAAACTCACAATTGATGATTTGTTCCAATCCAAATAACCCAACCTTCACCCACAGGCATTCAGGCAGTTATATCACATAAGCATATAGCCTCATGGTAAGCATGCTATTCATGGCAGTCACTCACACGCATGCAAGGATGCTAAAGTATAAAACTTACCAAGTACTCTAAGCCAAAATAGAAACTAATTAGAAATCCATGCATGATCCTAATGATACAGAAATGCCTAATGCAACACAGGCAAAAGTGCAACTATAGCAGGCTCGACTATTCTAAATATGGCATATGAAATGCTACAGCTAACATGTATTCAACTTGAAATTGAAAATACAATGCAGTTAGTATGATGCGCCGAGCCCGGTGCATGCAATACAGATGAATGAATGCAAACATGCTGTCATACTGTATGCTAATTTAAATATGCCCTAATCTAACCATCATAAGCTGGTAAATAAAAGGGAAGAAAGACGTGGGGTTGGAAGACATACATCACACACACGCACACTTATTACAATTATGCCATCGGGCAGAGGGTCCGAATAAACAATATACAGTCCAAATAATTACAAAATCCTAATTAATTTACAAATTTAACTAGGAAAGTAATAAATTGGCGTGCAAGCCAGGGACTGCCTTAACTCTGATCCGGATGATGAATGATGCGTGTTCGGGTTGCCTTGCGCGAAAATCCATTGCGATGCCCCAATTAGCCTCTGTTTGCAATTGTTCTTGGGATGCGTGCCAAGCTCCGGAAGGCTGCTGACTCTTGATTTGCTGTAACAGAGAGCAAGAAACGGACATGGCAAAGTATTTTCACATATATATACATGACTACCCTTCAGGGAGTGTAGTCCTCGATCCTCGTGCCACCAATCACGCATATCGATGCATGATGGCCGAGGAGTCGATTTGCACGACTTAATATGAAATGAATGCACACATAAACACAACAAGACCGAGACTCCATCATGAATAATCCGGAGTGTCGGTGACTGGGAATTGAGACACGTTCCGTCACTCGGAGTACGAAACGTCCCTCGTTTCCCGTGCTTGGGCTAACTCCTATCCCAAGCACAATGCAATATGCATGACATGCATGAATGCAACTAATATACAACCTAGCATGCACAATGCTATGAAATGGCATACACGATGCACGAGATAACATGGCATACACAATGCGCTAACATATAACCTAGCATACGCAATGCTATGAAATGAAATGGCATACACAATGCATAATGGACTTACACCAACATGAGTGGGCCTCAGCCACACTCACATAAGAGGCCATGAGATGAAAATGAGACACTCGAAATGCGTGCACACATGCACGCAAACCGATGATCGATCCTAAGGCACCGAATGCCACTCTAACAAGACATGGCAAGGCATGGAATATGGCATACTAGCATGCAAATTTCAGTAGCAAAACAAGATGCAAAACAGCCCCAAAACATGGCAATATGGCACCCGATACATAAAATGAGACCCGAAATGCAAAACTAGGCACACACAATGGCCTATAGCTATAAAAAACATGCACTATTTGAACATGAAGTGTGAATAAATATTCAAGGAATTCCCAAAACAAGCACATTTACAGTTTTAAGTAAGGCCAAACAGTGAACAAAAATAGGGCTAAACCAATATGCAAAAATGGCCATAAATGTGAGATAAAGAAGCAAGTCATGGTTTCTGGACTCAAACAAGAGAGGGCCCTTCAACAATGTTGAAGAGGGACCCAAAACATGGCATTTTACAGTTTATGATCAAACCCAAAACAGTGTACATGCAAGCCTAAAATACTATGCAAAATAAGGCCTAAAAAGAGGTTTAAACACAAAGAGTAAGAAGGGAACCTCAAACAGTAAAAGACCCTTGATCAAACATGAAGAGAGGGTCAAAATAAGGCCATTTACAGTTCGTACCAGAGCCCAAAAATATAAGCACAAAGGGCTAACAAATCATGCAAAAATAAGGCCAAAAGAGGGATATAAAGGCAAGTGGAAAATGGAAGCCTCAAAAAGTGAAGAGCCCTTCAACAATATTGAATAAGGGATCAAAATAAGCCACTTTACAGTTTATGACAGAGCTCAAAACAGTTTACATGTAGGCCAAAAATACTACACAAAAAATAGGCACACAAGAGGGGTAATGAAGCAAGTGGTAGCTAGGGACCTTAAACATGGAAGGACCCTAAAACAAACATGAAAAATACATCAAAACATGACTATTTTCAGTTAGGGTCGGAGCCCAAAAATATGAGCAAGAATGACTTAGAAAGCATACAAAATAAGCTCAAAAAGAGGGAAAAAGTGGCTCACCCTTGAAGACCAAACTTTAGCAACCTCTTGGCTTGAGAAAAAGTGCCTCCTAAGCTCTGAGAAGATCCTCCAAGCTGCTGGAATGGAGTGGTGGTGTGGTGCTAGGTGATGGTGTAGAAATGGGTGTAGGATTTAAGAGGTTTGGAGGGTTGAAGTGTAGAGAGAGAGAGATACAACCTAAGAGGCTTAAACAAAATTTTATAACCCCTCAAAACCGGCTGGGAGTGCTGGTTATATAGACAAAAAGGGTGGAAAAGAGGGGGAAAAAATGGGGGGAAAAACAATTCAAGTTTCCCCCCAAAAGGCCAAACCCTCGGACATAAGGCCTAGAGGAAAACAAAATTCACTTCTAGGGCACACTTGGGGAGGGGGTTATGGCCGACTAGCTAAAAAGGGAAAAAAATTCATTTCACCAGCTAGGTGGCCGGCCTGCTAGATTTTCTGGCCGGCCTGCTACTTTCAGGACAAAAAAATGGGCTGCCGGAAAGAAAAGTGGCCGGTGGGTGATTAGGAAGTCCAATGGTGGCCATTCAAGTATCCAAATTGAAGCCCCGGAAGTTAGCTTTCCAATGGAGCAAACCTTACATTAAAATTCCTCCTGTGGAAAAAGTTATGTCAGTTTCCGTGAAGCCGCGCAGATTCGGTCCCAACCAGAGTGATGCCCTACTTCAATCAACTATATCTCCCTCGTCCGGAGTTGGATTTAGGAGATTCTTGAGTGAAAAATGAAGCCCCGGAAGTATTATTTCCAATGGTGGTGGCCTCATAACTTGATTCCAAGTGTGCAAATGTTTAGGCCCGATTTGGCGAGGGCTGCTCGACTCTTTCTTAACGGTTCATGCCCATTTTCTCCCCAAACTGGATTTCTTCCCTCTTCTCCTCTTTTCTTCAACTTCAAACCCCTAAGCAAGGTGTTTTGAAAGATTTTTTCAAAGATTTCATCTCTCTTTCATTCTTTTCCACTTTGTCCTTGCTCGGTTTACCGAAAAGCGCAACATTTGACAAAATGCGAGCCACGGAACATCGTAAAAACTTTATTTCAAAAACGTTTTGAAAGAGAGGGTTTTACGGCTAAAATCTTTTGATCAAGATTGTTTTGGTCCAAAAAAGGGTATGAAGTTGAGCTTTGACTCTCTCCTTGCTGAAGAAATTGAACCTTTGCCCTGCACATATTCCAAAACCATCAGTCGCGTTCGAGTCTTAAAGACGGTAAAAAATGGGGTGTCTACAGTATCAAATCGAGAATATCAAAAATCCTTCACTAAATTGAGGACACCTAAGAGATTTCATCAAATTATTGTTCATAGGCGTTGGATTTTTACTACTGAATGTCCCCCGAATATCTCCAAATGACCACTTTAAGCAAAAATTTATGAAAAAAATATATTGGCCGGTCGATTGATATTTTGATAAAAGTTAAAATTCTTCGTTAGAGTACTTAATATCAAATAAAATTTTTATTCAAATTTAATAATAATAAAAAAAAAGAATGCTCTTATATACCAATTGGACATCATTAAAAACCGTTATAGGAATACCTTCTTCGTGTTTAGGGATTATATGACCTCGCATCCAAACGGGCCCTGACGCTCGAAGTCTTTTCCCTTTCTCTCTCTCCCCCAATTTCTGCGTCTGCGTCGTTCTTACTGAGATTTTGTTCGATTAGCTTTGTACTACTATACGTATATATATATAGAGAGAGAGAGAGAGAGAGGGAGAGGGAGAGGGAGATCAGAGATGGCGAATCAAGGGGCGAAGAAGCGAAAGGAAGAGAACAGTCGTCGCCTGAAGAACCTCCTTCGCTTCATCATCTTTTCCAATGTTAGATTCTCTCACCTTCTTATCATTTCTCCATATTTCGCTCTTCAATTAACTCCTCTTTATCATCAATTTCTCGTTGCTTTTCAATTACTAGAAATATTATGTGTCTATCTTAATTGGATTGTTGCTGTAGTCAAAATTTCATCCCCAGCACATTAACAATCAATTTTCAATTTGTTTTTCCCTTTGCACTTTCTCAGCTACCAAACGGAGCTCTGTGCTTTTTTAACTAGATTAAAACTGAAATCAGGGATTAATATGGTAGTATTTGAGAAGTAAAATCGAAGAACTCTATTCAACCCATATGAAGATTTAATTTTTTTAAGTACTTTTCCTTTGTCCTGCCTTTTTTCAGCAATCAAACAAACCTCCAACTTTGTTTTTCCTTTTCTTTTTCTGCAAGTGAAAAGATACTGAATTAAGTAATGAATTGCAACTATGGGATGGACTACTAAAGAAAAAATCGTTACACTTCAAGTTATCAAGACTGAATTTTTAAGTTATGATAGTGCTATGCACATGAATTATGTCTCACTTCTTGACTTGTTACTTTTTGGCTTCCTTGAACTTTGATGTTTGTTGCTCAGTCTTGTTTTTTGAATCTTGATTTTGTTTTGTGACTGTTTTTAGTTAGATTTTTTATTCCATGAAATTGATTTACTGGTTAATTGTGCCTGTTGTCAATATAGTCTATTTTAAAATCAATGCACTTTGTTCTCAATCAAAAGTTGTGCTTATCTAGGTTTTTTATCTTGTGGTGAGGGCGGGGATCTTCCATTCTACTTTCAAGTGGAAGCATTGGGTTGGCTTCTTGTTGACTTTTTTCACCTACGTTATCCCCTATCAACAACTTGCCACGATGGCAAAACCTACATATTCTGAAAGTGGGGAGCTTGAAGATGGTGGGTTTGATTTGACTACTGATGGAGTTTGCGGGAATGTTTCCCTAATGTTATTTCTGCTTTTGTTTCTTCTAGGTTTCATATTTAATCTTCTCTGGTTTGTTGATATTTTGGTTCCATTTTTATATCTGAACCAAAACCCTTTTGCTTATTTGTAAAATGAAGTCTTTGAAAAGTGCAATGAGTGCAAATCTAAGAATTTGAATAGTGGAGAAGTTGCAATGCTTAGAATAGAAACGATGGTTGAATTGTGGAAGTGATGTTGATCCATCCTACATGGGCTTCTACAAATGAGGATGGAGGAAGAGAATAGAGAAAAGGGAAACAAGAAAGAGGAATAAGATGTAATTAAGTAGGAGAACTTAACCACCACCACCCCCCCCCAAAAAAAGAATGTAGGAGAAAAGTCCTGGGAGGGAGAAGAGCTGGACGAAGAAAGAGTTTTGAGAGATGAGGGTTAAGAGGCAGAGGAAGATGAAAAGGAAGGTAAGAGAGGATAAGGGAGAAAGAATGAACAAGAGAGATAAGTGAGGGTAGGGTTATGTAGGTTGAGAGAAGCAGAGCATGCACACACGTACGTGTGCAAGAACGCACACACACAAAGAGAGAAGCTCATTCATATTTTTAGTTTTGGTATCTTTTTTATATCTTTTTCTTCAAGCTTTAGAAAACCTAAATCTTGAAGGATAATGACGCAATCAAATATACACGGGAAATGGATATTGTTCTAGTAGAAGAAAGGGGCACTCAAATCCATGAGAAAGACATAATCTTAAATACACTAGCAAGAGAAATTTTTGTAATATTATTGATAAATGTTGTCTTTGCCTCAAGGCTTATGTAGATATTTATATCAACATCAACTAGGGAATCTAATATTTATAATCTATTCCATGCCAAATTGCCAAATTTCTAATAAAATACTAATTCCAAAATACTAAAATGAAAATATAGAAAGACCATAAGAGGTTTTTATACGTTGCGTGTTAAAGATAATGATTTTGGAAAAATGTACGGATACAAGTGTATTTTGGATATTTGACTGTCACATTACTTATATGGTATTGTCGTGGTGCATTCATGATTATAATTATTTGTATGTTGTTATTGTTTAGGATCATGTTGGGATTCCTACTGGACTTTATGTTCATCTCACGGTGCTAATCATTTTTCAGGTACAAGTTGAGAGATGATTTAAGATTGGTGATCTTATTTGGCCACGAGGCTCTATATTTGTTGGCGGAATGCTATTGTTGTAAAAAAGGTTAAACCCTTAATTTTTAGGGCGAATTACACTAACGGTTTCTATAGTTTGGGGTTTGTGTCACTTTGATCTTTAACTTTTCAATTGTGACATATTTGACCATTAATTTTGAATCTTATTCCAAATAAGGATAATTGAAGATACCATTGCTTAATTTCAATGGCAAAATCATCAATTTGATAAAATATAAACTAATTTGACAAAAATAAATGTCAAAAAAATATTTTTAAATTTTT